ATGAGAGTTTGCTCCACATAAAGGAAATTTCTACATTTTTCAAAAATGATCAGCAGGATTTTCTTCGCTTGCCTGTTTCTCGGGATGTACAGTACGGGCTCCTCGTTAAGTTGCAAATGGATTGTAAAACATCCAGGCGACAGAATGAGTCAATTCAGTCTGCACAACAAACAAGCTTTAGGTCTACTTGATATGATGGTGAGTGCACTTCTTTGCATAATGTTTAATGTGGTATTGATTTATATGGTTTGATTAGTTCCATGCATGTGATGTGTGTGCGTTTTGTGTGTGATGCAGATTACTAACACCACTAAGGATGCTGAAATTGAGCACAACGTGGCTTTCCCTAATCGACTGTATCGCAAGACGTCCAAAGCAACAGTAAGTCACCCCCAACTTTTTACATAAAGTTGTTTATTTTTTTAATGGAAGAACTGAAAGTGTCGTGATGGCAAATCTACAAAAGTTTGTCTTTACCTATATATAGACTGTTCAGCTATTAAAGGGTCGTAGGGATTCTCTCCCACAGAGCCAAGGGAGTTGTTTCTTATCACTACTCTGTCATAACTCCTGTGCATAATTCAAGGACGAAATACAAAGAACTCATTTTCAACCATTTATTCCTGTGCAATCTAAGATATATCTGGGAAAATTTTCATTGCTGTGTGGATTCTTGTTCTTTGACTTTCTAAGCCATCCATCTTCAAGTGTCACAGAAGTATTCCTATAGTAATCTCTTCTTCTTCTTCTTCTTCTTCTTCTTCTTCTTCTTCTTCTTCTTCTTCTTCTTCTTCTTCTTCTTCTTCCAGGCTGAGGATAAACTCGCTTTCACAGTTCAGATTCTGGAGGAGCTGTTTGCCCTGTTTGAGGAGGATCACAGCTCTGCCTCATGGGAGGAGAACACAGTGGAGAACTTTCTCAGTATTGTGAACAAACAGGCTGAAGAGCTTCGCTCCTGTGTAAGTTCACTTTCATTTGTTTTTGTAATTTTACAATGAATTCAATCTCTCTTGTGTAAAAGACCTGACAACTGTGAATAAGTTAAAGTGGTGAATGATTTATTTAAATATATTTTGTTTTATTTCTCTTGATTTATTTAGATTGGAAGCCACAGTTACACGACACAGAAGGGGCAAGAGAGGACAAAAATGTATTTCAAGAGACTTTTAAATAAAATCCTAAAGAAAAATGTAAGCCTGCATTATTTTTTTTACTGAGCCTGTATTTAGTATTTAGCTATGACAGATATTACACCGCTGGTATTTTAATAATGATAATATTGTTGTCTCTGTAGGGTTACAGTGCTGAAGCCTGGGAGAAGATCAGGGACATAACAGAAGATCATCTGAGTCAATGCGCATTCCTGGTTACACCTCTGGGAAATGCCCACTGAAACTTATCTCTCGGATACATTTTTTAAAAATATATTTGTTAATTTATTTTTTAAATTATATCTTAGTTGGTTTCATTTATTTATTGTATTTATGATATTTACACTATTATTTATTTTTAATATTTGTGTATTATTTATTTATGTATTTATTTATTTATTTATTTGTTTTGTACTTTTTTATTAAAATAAACTATTTCATATTATT